GGGGGGGGGCGCATGGTTGCAATGCTGACTTAGTATGTCAAACAAGTACATTTGACCAGATAAAGTAGCAGGAAGATCCAATCTTAAAGGGGCCCTATTATGTTCATTTTCAGGTTAGTATTTGAATTGTGTGCCTCTACTGTAACATGCTTTAATGTTCAAAAAGCTCTTCTCATACTGCCTGTGCTGCAGCACCTCTTTTCACCCTCTGTCTAAAACCAGAGCCCAGTCTGCTCTGATTGGTTAGCTGGTCGGCTCTGTTGTGATTAGTCAACCGCTTAGAAATGTCCCGCCCCTAAGCCTATCACGTACAATGTGTTGGAATGCTAACCAATAGGAACTCAAGTGTTACAGAGTGATGTCACTATGTTGCGGAAGTAAACAAAGGAGTCCAATGGAGGGGTTTTAAGAAAGGTGTGTGTGGGAGAGAAACTCCCTCTGGAGGGAACTTTGGGATGTTAGTCTTTGCAGACCATTTACATGCACAACAAAGCTATATAACACATTACAGGAAAGTAAAACAAGACAACAACAAGAGCCTTGTTTTACCTTGTATGAAAATAATGGTAGTCGACATCTTCCCTAAGGTAACCAGGTCAGCCAGCTTCTATCATCACAACAAATATGAAAAGACGCAGTCAAATTTGTAAATAAAAGATTTGTAAGGGCCAAATTCTCTCTAAGCTCTCCAATAGCTTACAGCCTCATCTGAAAATCTATAATGGCATTACAGTAGTCTGTGCGTTGGAGGACGGCCAGCACACAGGGCTCTTGATCGTTCCAGCTGGACATCTTAACAAAGACAGCAGACATGCCAGCGAGCCTGCAGGTATCTGACAGCCACTCATAGGGGCGCTCGCTCCTCTTCCTCCTTCTAGTCCTTCCTCCTCAGCCCACATACTCCCTCTGTAGGAGCAGCACTACCCTCCTCTAGCTGACAGCGGATGCATCTCTGCTTTACTTCCCTCATAAATACTCCAGAGTTGAAAACAATGAGGCCGAGCATTGGCAGTGTTCAGCTGAGCTAATGTCACTATTGAGCACGGCTGACAGCTTTATGTGCGGCAAAAAGCATCAAAACGAGGAGGTAAGTGTAGGAGTAGAAATGGACAAGACTAACAAGTCTGATACAACAAAGCACTCTGAGGGCCACATAGACCCGTCAGCAGACATTTCATTACTGACACATAAATCTGTCAAATAGAGAGGCTAAGTGGCACCTCGGGTACCATTAAGTGCTGTTGTATAATTGCATTCACTTCAACGCTGGTTTGCTCATGTTGATTTTTAGACAGTAGCAGCTAATGTGGCTTTCAACAGCGCGTGACGACAATGACACATGTGTGACAAGTATAGTTTTAACTTGATGAGATAAACATGAAAAATGGTAATTGAACATGAAAGCACTTTACAATGTGCTTTTCATTAACCCATTATTTCACACACTAATGGCGGCTATAAAAAGCGGTTGCACATCATTTTTCGAGTCATTTGCTAAATCATACTTGAACATGGCAAACAGGACTGATCAACATTTGCCCAAAAACTAGATGATTCCCCATACATACAACATATTTGTACCTAATCACGTCACAGGATCGATGCCTAAGATGTTTAATTGTTTGGTTAACAAATCAGGTAATGCTTCATTCACTGCACACAAGAAGCGAATAGAGAGAGGATGATAAAGTGTTGTGGTTTTAATTACAGAAATGTAGCGGCAATGAAAAACTATAAGATGCCCGTTTCAGTGGATTTGTGGGTTTTTGCATTACTGTGATTGGTTTCGCACTCATTTAGGGATAGCGGTGACATCATTTAAAGTAAGTACCCAAGTGACTGCCTTCTATCAAGACATATAAAATCAGGGTAGAGACCCCTGTTAGCCCCTGGTAGTCAAAGAGTTTAAGGCATTCAACATGAATTTCTGCAGTTCGGATCGTGCCAAGCACTTTTGATGCATGTCACTCCACATTAATATCTCCCTTAAATTCCTGTCTCTTCCCTGCTGTCGACTTTCTAATAATGCCACGAAAGCTACATGAAGAAAAACACTTCATAGTTGTGACTATCAACAAATGCAAATCTATTTCTATACAAATCCAAATTTAAATAATGTAATTACATGTCTTGCGATGTATGTAGGCAAATGTATGCAAGAAATGCCGGGACGGTGATACACCCTGACAGATGAGGAATGAGATAAAAGAAAAACTGTCAGACCTTTCTTATGAAACAGTTTATTTCTGGAAATGCACAAAGGACTGAACAGAGAGACAGTTAAGGCACTAACAGAGATGGAGAGGGGCTGAGCAAACACAGGCAGAGGCTCAGATGTGTCACAGCAACAACAGGCACCGAGCCTCTTACACTAAGATGACTGCAGGGATCGATCATAGGCTGCCTTCCCCTCTCTGCCCCGTTTAGATCATTAAATCCTAATTGAGAACTGGCAACCAAAGACACACACGCAGGCACACAGAGAGGCTGCGCTCGCATGGATGAAACATCTCATGGATGACAAAAGAAAAGCACGGGCGGCGTGAGATAATAAGACCAAATGTCCATTTGAGTTAGAGAGCAAATCGATCCGCCTGGACTGCACCATGACAGAGTGAGAAGAGGCTGAGGGGGTGAACTAGTGTCACAGTGATCAGGGGGTGAATCTTACACTCCGCCGGTCATCATGTTTAAGTGACCATTGAGATCTGGATGATAGGAGAGTGGCAGCATGGGGAAAAAAACACAAGAGATTAACCCCATGTCTCTCAACTCTCTGTGGTAAAAAGTGCCAGACAGCACATCAAGTGGACCACCAGATGATTGTGTGTATGTGGTTGTGGTTGCGTGTGTGAAGTTGGCTCACCCAGGACTAGATCTTGCACAGCTCTCCTTCCATCGGAAAGCCTGGAGGTGCTTAGATCACTGTTGGCCGTCTGCTCTGTCTGAGTCTGAGTGCAGGATGATGTTGCTCCTCCAACACTGAGCTTCTTCCTCTTCTTATTCTTCCAGCAACAGCAGCTGTAGTACTGGACTGCATTCACTCACCTTCCTCTCCTCCCAGCACTGCTGTTGAATTATCTACCGCCCCCCAAATGAGGTCCCTCTCCGCTCCTCTTTGTGGGAGGAATGCAGCAGCAGCAGCAGCAGCAGCGACTCCTCTCACCGCGGGATCCCGGCGCTGTGTCTCGGTGAAGCGGTTAGCTCTGCCACCGACAGCGGCATGCAGCTCGGACTGACGGTGCTCTCGTTATTGGGTTGCATGTGTATGAGTGACCTGGCATTTATGTGTGTGTGGGACGTGGAGCGTTGCATGTGTATCAGCGTGTGTATGTTTGAAAGAGGACCCGGCTGGGGCTCATCTGCGCTCTCTCTCCAGTCTCTCTCTCTCTCTCTCTCTCTCTCTCTCCAGTCTCTCTCTCTCTCTCTCGTACTCGGGCTGTTTGGTGCTGCATTGTGTGGGGGGAAAACGAAAGATGAGATCTCAATTTAAAAATGTATCTCACTTTAGCTTTCTGATGGAGGGTTTACTCACATTACTCTGCAGGGACTCACTGTATGAAAAAGCAATGTTAAATAGATTTAATAATATGCTTAAATAAATATGTGAATAAATACAGAGAAATTTAGAAATGTGCCTACCATTAGATTTGGTATTGTATTAGGCCTCGGATTTAAACTGAAATAGCCTATGCTTATGACGGATTTATTTGGTCTGTCACTGTTCGTTTGTAATCCATACAGCAATTTGAGATGCGGGAATTGAGTTTGTTTAAACCTACCCTAACAGATATTAGGACATTTTTTAACAGATTGTGTGTCGGATTGGGCAGCATCTAGCGATAGGGTAGCACATTACAACCAAGTGCATACCCCTCCCTTTACAATAATGCAGTAATGGGAAGCCAAGTGCAAAACCATGGTAAGGCATTGGTATCATTGAGGACCTTGACCTCCCTCAGTGACCCTACTGTACTTCCCACGGCTCTGATTATAGGAGTAGCAACATTCCGGCAGGGGCTGGCGCTACCACAGTTGCAACACGTCCTCCAACTCATACGACCAAATGGGCCGATTGTTCAGGCCCTTATTACAACCAAATATGTCGTTTGTTCGAGCGCTTAATACGTCCTATAATTACGTTTAAAAGTTTTCTCCCTCTAGTGCTCCCGTTGAATGCAAACGTTACAGATGGTCGTTTATTCACAAATAACCCTCTCTGTAAAATCCTAATTTGTAGGATAGTTTGGCCAAAAAACGCGTTTTGATTAGATTTCTAGCGAGAAGTGTATATTGTACTTTTAGAATCCACGTCCAGTCGATATGTAGGATCTATAGGATGATTTGAGGTATGGGGCAGCCTCCATGTAAAGTTACGGGTTGAAAACAATATTTCCGGTCTCGACGTTTTCATAATAAAACCAATGATCAAATGATTTAACAGTGATATCTGCAGTACTCATCAACTAAAAAACATCAGTGTATACGTTTATCCTTGTTAATTATATGACATTTATTGGTTTAAATTGTGTACAACTAATTCAGCTGACTTTTATATTTGATCCAATTAGTAGATAGGTTATATTTACACCATAACGGTGCACAGCTGATAGAAAGGGATTTTTTTGTAGTTTTTAAAGATATTATTTACTGAACTACCTTTCCAACTCCTCATGCAGTTGACTGTTACAGGACAACCATCAGAACGCAACCTCCTGCAGGACGTGATTTATGACAATAAGATCTCTAGTGGTGTCATAGAAGAACTATACAAAGATAAGATATAAAGATAAGTACGGAAGTGAAGGGGGGTTAAAACATACATCCGCATGAGAATTATAAATTTACAAAAGTAGTTTATTTTTGCATAAGTCTGTTGTTTTAAGTTATTCCACGAAATGGTGCCAACCGACGATCAATTATTTTGTATTATCTAAAGTTTGTATTAATACTGATAATTGAAATAACACCTTTACATATTGTCTTGCCATTTCCTTTTATGTCAAAGTCCCAGAGAGACTAAACTGCTCGAAATACGGTACTTG